TTATATAGAATGAGCAAATCCATTTTCATGCAAATCCAAAAATTGACACAAAGGTGCCATCAGAAAGGATAATGTGGGAGAACTTTAATCTCTCAGGAGGACACTTTATCACAGTCCTCAAGTTGATCACAGCTGAGCAAAAGTACTTCACATTTCAGCAAATACACCTGAACACAAATTCATTAAACACTGAACTGTTTCTCCTGTGGCTTGAACCAAAGGTTTTCTAATTATGTATGTTTGTCTTCAAATAATTTGAATTAAATCTCAAAGAAACCAAGTTAAGTATTACTGAAGTGCCATCTACTGGCATTTTAGAAATATATACTCCAAGTTGTAAACAAAATGAAATACTGTAGGCCCTCCACATTTATGGACTCTGCACCTACACATTCAACTTCCCACAGATTGAAAACATGCCCCTCGCCTCCCCCCAAAACTATGCAAATAGCAAACTATGATTTTAACATTGTATCTAAGGAACAGCATGGTATAATGGAACTTATATAAGTAACAGCATGGTATAATAGGACTTGAGCATCCAGATATCCATGTGGGGTCCTGGTACTAAACCCCAGCAGGGGGCACTGCACTAACACTTTATCCTCAAGGAGCTAAAATACTTCCCCATGACTTAATTTTTTTTTAAAAATTAAGGTGCATTTTAATCTGTTGATTACAAATAAACTGAAACCTGACAAGATGGAAGCTATGTGGATAGGTCCATGGACTGTGTAAGGAACAGGAATACAACCTGAAGCATGCCTAGATTCATTCAGAACAGCTTCCTTGGGGGCAGCCGTTGTAATTAACCCTCAATGGAGGTAACTTGGTAATTATAGTTTATTAACAAGTCATTTGTCTGAATTATTGCAGTGTGCACTTTCTGGAGCCGTACCTGAGGATGGCATATAACAAGGAGGAGGACTTGTGCTGGCCTGCCAAAGTGGCTGGAGTGTAGCTCCTAGCATTCCCCATTATTGACTATAGTGTTTGATGGGCTGACTTGTTTTTATTAGATCCTAACCTGCAACTTATTTTTTAAAAAGAGGCAGTTTAGAAACATTTAAATTGATAAAAGTAATTAAAACTGGTAAAATAAGATCTGCTTGGGGAGGGGACTGGATCCCTAGATGGTCCTGGACTGCAACACACATCAATTCCTGAATATTAATTACTATTAGAGGCTGATTCCAGATATCAAAAGGCTGAAGATACTCTGCTAACACCTGGTGCATACAGGTATTAAGTGCTCTTAATCGGCTAAATTTTCTGGCCACCCCCCCCCCCCCCCCCCATGGAAAGTTTAATGAACCCATTGTAATGTTTCCAATATATTTTGGAATGGTTTTGAGACTTTACATTTCCCACCCTCCTTACTTTTGTTGCCTTTTGGGGCTATGATTCTGCTTCCTCCCTACTTACACATCAGCCCTATATACTCCACAAAATCTAGAACCATCGTTTTAAACCTCATTTGTGCATAATAATAAATAAGCCTTTCTGAACTGTATGGTTGAACAAAATACAGTCTCCATATGCCACCTGGTGGAGAGAAAAATATGCAATAAAGTTTATTGGGCTGCTTTATCAGTCTATTGGAAAAGGGACTATATTAAGGCTGGGAGTAAGGAAAATTTGCCTCTTCCACAGTTGTTTCAGCATCTGAAATAAAGAAACAAGGAACTATAGTGTTTGGATTGACTCCAGAGGCCATCTAGTCCAAAAGCAAAGGTTTTCCTGATGGATAGCCATTTAACTTCTGTTTAAAATCCTTCAATAAAGATGAGCTCAGTACCTCCCAAGGACGTTAGTTGTTCAGTTAACATGTTCTTCTATGCTTCTTTCGCTCTTGTATTTTGTATTCACGGACTTGGTTGCTACTCCCTGAAGGAGTGAAAAAAATTACTTCCATCTTTCATTTATTCCTTCTCATTCTATGTCTAGATTTACAGTACCCCCATATTTCTGTTAACAAAGCCTGCTTATACCTGCTCACCCCCTTTTCCTTCTTGTCCTCTATCTAACTGGATCATTTTCAAAGCTGTTCTGGCATTCAGAGGGCTGGAGAAAGAAACACAGACTTTCAGTACTAAATTGGAGCAATGTTGTCAAGTAAATAATGCAGTAAGCCTTGAACTGAAGAGCAGAATTCCAGTCTAGCTTTTCTCCTGCAGCTGTGTGTTCCTTCCTACTACTGGCAAAGTCAACGGTGACTCCAGAATGCCTTACTGAGCATGTGTGAACAGCAAATTGGAAAGATAGGAGTAAAACAGATATGCTTGCCTCAGTAGCATGTTAATTTTTAAGAAAGAGCACTAATGTGCTTTTGGCTTCCAAAAGGGAAACTGTACCAAAAGTGGAGGCTGCTTAAACAAAAAGCCACCCCTGAATGAATTCTGGAAGAAGTCTTCAAATAAGTCTCCAGAAGGCTGAAAAGGTTTTAATCAATTATTCAAGGCTTAACTGACATGGTTGCTTCATTTCACATGTGCAAATGTGTAGTTCTGAATACAAAGTGTGTGAAGAACATTGAACTGCTCTCCTTTTTGTGATGCAGTAATCTATCTTTACTCTTTCCATATTATTTCTACCTTGTTAAAGAAGCAATGCCAAGGGACATATCTACCTTGCTAACATCTACCCAGCTGTATAAAATCCACATTATCTGCTTTGAACTGGATTATATGGCAGTGTAGACTCAGATAATGAAGTTCAAAACAGATGTGAAATATCTGCTTTGATAATCTTGATTATATGGCAGTGTACAAGGTACCTGTAAAAGTACTGTGGCCTGAAATAAACCATATATTTTCCAATTTCCAATTTACTGTAGCTAATTCATCACTTTGCGCAATAGTCTTTCCACTTACCGTATATTCCGGCATATAAGACGACTGGGCGTATAAGACGACCCCCAACTTTTCCAGTTAAAATATAGAGTTAAGACGACTCCCATGCATAAGACTACACCCGTATAAGACGACCCCTGACTTTTGAGAAGATTTTCTTGGGTTAAAAAGTAGTCTTATACGCCAGAATATACTGTAACTAAAACATTCGATGTTGTGCACAACTTCATGAAACTAAGGATGATAACTCCTCATGTTCAGGTTAAGGCTGGACCTACACTGTCATATAATCCAGTTCCTAAATCCAGATGATCTGCTTTGAACTGGATTATATGAGTCTACATGGCCATATAATTCAGTTCAAGCAGATAATTTGGATTCATAAACTGAATCATATGGCAGTGTAGATGAGGCCGAAGAGAGAGACAGTGTGGCATTGGAGATGGGGTGCTGGGTTTGGGACAGGATGCTTTGAGTTCAAGTTCCCACTCTGCCGTAAAACTTCATGGATAAGGCCACAAACATGCTGTTTAAGCTATTTCACAAAAAAAAAATAGTGGGACAAAAGTGCACACACACATCTGTCTTAATGGAAGAGGAGAAGGATATATGTTTGTTAATAATAGCAGTGATCTCCAAAACAGATAGATACAGACACAGATTTGAAATTAGTACTTCTTTGAATAGTTCTGCTTGACCTGATATTGAAGGGTAACATTAATTTCAGTAAGTACACACCTGTATTGAAATAAGCCCTGACACACAAAATTGAAAATGCTGCCTCTGAATCTGAGTGCTTAAAGTACACTCTATAGTATAAGAACTATAAAGTCATACATATACCATCAACCTCAAAAGCAAAATGAGTTAAAAATTAAATATTTTTTAATGTTTTAAAAAGGAGAACATCTTTAGTGGGGGAAAATTTATCATATCTAATGTCCACTAGGTGGCAAAAGAAAACTCTTTTTCTCTGAACAACACAAAGGATATCTCATACAAGCCTGTGATCATGTTGTAGGACAAGGACAAAGGTGAACACACCCCATCTGCTGCATTTATATTGATTTTTCAAGTCTTAGATTAGATCTTTTTTCTGAGATAAGCTTGTGTTACAGGTTTACCTTTATAAAAGAAACCAGAGTACTTGATTACTCTTAGCTGCTAGAAATAAATTGGAAAAAAAAACCCTATATCCATCATTAAAAACCATTATTTTGTTGTATCTATTAGATTTGTGGTTGGCTTAATGGACTGTAGCCTCCCGTGGAATTAAAAGCGCATAAGCACCACAATTTTGGTGCTTTCCAGTGAATCCTATCCTGATCCCCACTTGCTAGACAGCGGACACTGTGATTGCTGGGAGTCTGTTCCCATTGATCACATGCTGATGCTTTTATTGCCATCTCTTGCAATTTATCTCCAGCACAACAAGCACAAGCAGGGTCTTATTGCAATTCCTCCTTATACCAAAGATTATTTTTGCGAGAGGGGTTGCCAGGAAGCTGGTCCAGGCTTTAGCACAGCAGGTTAACTGCCAATTGCAGTAAATCTTGCTAATCAGAAGGTTGGCAGTTCAAAGACTGGATCAGGGTCAGCTCCTGGTCTCCATCCCAGCTCCTGCCAATGTAGCAGATCGAAAACAGCAATTATGAGTAGATAAATAGATACCGCTTTTTAAAAGTGGGGAGGCACCCATAAGGAAATGCCAGAAAATGCCGGCGATTCGATTAAAAAAAAAGGAGAAAGTTTATGAACCGAAGCTCTTCTGCAGGGAAGACGGAGTGACGGCACCTCCCCCCCATGGCTGAAACCAAGTACAGCCTTCAAGATACTGAAGATGGGGGGGGGGGGGGATGCCTATATATACCTCTATCTATGTACAATTGTATGTCTTGTTTTTGTATATTGGCATTTAATGCTTGCCGTATATGTGTTCTGTGATCCGCCATGTGTCCCCTTCAGGGTGAGAAGGGCGGAATATAAATACTGCAAGCAAATAAATAAATAAATAAATAAATAAATAAATAAATAAGCAAGCTTCTTCCCAATTAACAGGGAAGCATACACCAACTGACAGGAAAATCATCCTTTCAGTTAACACCCCAGACCAAACCTGAAACCTGGAACAGAAACACACAACCCAAATGAAAATGTACTAAAATTTAATCATTCATAAAAGCTGTAATTTAATCTGTGACAGTAAAACACAAGAAGCAATATTAGAGTTGGTTTAGTATATTATATATTTTAGCTTTCAAAGCTGTAGAAATCAGTTACCCCAGTTTTTTTTCCTATAAAAGACCCATTTTTTTCCAAAGCATTATGCACAATTTTAATTAGAATATAATGGCAGAATGAAAATAATGATATTTGTAACTTTTTAAATATAAAATGAAGTCAATGACTTGGAAAGTTATTTGCTACAGTGAATTCAAAGGGTAAAATCTTTATAGTTATATCTATCATGATAGATATAAAGTATTAATGACTGACCATTTTTAGTGCTTGATGGGAAAGAAATTATGGTAAGAGGTCAATATGAAATTATAGTAGCAATATCTAACATCTGAAATGCATCCATGCTCTTTTGTATAATCATACAACTAGAGTCAATTATATTTATTATCATGTCTGTTAACTATTGCAAAGGAGAAGTACTATTGTCTTTAATTTCCAAGAGATATACACAGAGGAATTTCATTTTTGTTTTGTTTTTTTCCCCAGGAACCTTTGTGCAAACCATTATAAGATCTAAAATCTTCACATAATATATAAAAACAGAAGCCTCTTCAGATATGTTGCTAATTCATGGTGTAGTTATTTGAAGTTCTGGAATGCTGGCACTTTCCAAATTAGGCAACAGTTCTTCATTCCTGTAGTCCTGGAACAAAGAAGAAGGAATGAAGAGTTAGTACCCATAAGAAAAGAAAGCTAAACATTAAAAAAAGATATGCAGAACTGAAGGCAAAATATATACAGGCAAAGGTTGAAAAGATGCTGCTTAACTAAGTCTAAGGGCGCATCTGCATTGTAGAATTAAGGCAGCTGTGACCATATCTCGTGAAGTCTGATTTGGCCACGTTGGTCCACACCTTAATTACCTCTAGATTGGACTATTGCAACGCGCTCTACGTGGGGCTGCCCTTGAAGACAGCCCGGAAACTCCAACTGGTCCAACGAGCAGCATCCAGACTATTAACTGGTTGTGAGTTACAGGAAGCGGTCTACCTGCGCAACCACATTTCCATCTATGAACCCACACGATCTCTTTGTTGTTCCGGAGAGGCCCTTCTTTCACTCCCGCCTCCATTGCAAGCGCGACTTGTGAGGACGTGGGAGAGGGCCTTCTCTGTGCTGGTTTCTGATGCAGAACATCTGTCATGGTCAGTGACAGGGAAGGAGTGGCAGGCGGTGCAAAAGGAGTGGAAATAAAATAAATAAAGAGGAAAGAGGTTCGCAGACCAGATTTTTGTCTTCACAGTCCACTGGTGGTCTGCAGCCCATAGGTTAAGAACCACTGTTCTATCGTGTAGATGCACCACAAGAGTTTTCAAAATAGGGTAAATATGGCAGCATTAACCTATACATCTCTTTAAGTTTGAGGACCTGAGAGCATACTAGGAACTACTCATTTTCATACAATCCCTTCTCTGAACGCTCCTATCTTCAGAAATTGCTCAGATGCTGAGATAGATATAGTGACACTTCAAATCTGGAAACCACTCTTTAAATACAAGCGTTAGGTTATTAAGTTTTAGGCAAAGTTGACTGTGATCCTACTACCAACCTATGAATACAAAAGTGAATGGGAAATTATGTTACGGCTAAGAAATCTATTAACACATATAAAAATATAGAAAAATACTAAGATACACAAAAAGGCCATAAATACAATGAAGCAGTATATTACAAACAATGAAATTTTTTATTAGGGTTAATAAAAAATAAAACATGAAATAGTGATGGAAATAGAATGTTATTGGAAAGCATAATGACAAGGTCTTAATCTTAAACAGTCTTATGATGCAAAATTAGATTAGGTCTAACCTGGGGGGGAAAAAATCTCAGGCTGCATCCAAGGAGCCAGGGGCAAAAAATGTTCCATACTCGGACCTTTGGTCTTTCTCCCCAATAGATCAGTTTAGTTTAATGTGTACACACACAAAAAGAGAGATGACATGCTCAAAAGGAGGACTGGAGACAGCATTCGCTATATACGTATGCCAGTACCTGTCAGAGGAAACTATAGAGAACATAATATAACCTTTACTGAAGTGAATCTTAGAATATCTAGATATCTTTTAATGCTGTTTTTACTTTTTTAAACATGTGTTTTAAATCAATATTTAATTTAATTGTATTTTAATTTTTGTATTGAGAATTTGAACTGTTTAATGTTTTTAACTTATGTGGGCCATATTGGGAGAAAGACAGGATATTAAATAGATGGATGGATGAATGAATGAACAACCTGTACTGGCAAATTGGTATTTCTGTCCTGATTTTATACACTGAAGATTAGCAACGCATGGGTTAAAAACTAGCTGTCAAATACTAATGAGTCAGCAGGTGGCACTTTAACCTCAAAAGGAAATGTGATCTAGCAGCCAGGCTTATATGTGCATACAGATGACATACTGGCTATATAGTAAGTGCAACCCTTTACCTACAGAGCAGAAAAAATGAAGTTACTGAATATCACAGTTCTTTCAAAGGGTACTTAATACCATATTTTTCCTCTAGTGTGCGCAATATGCCTTTTAAGTTATGACAATGTAATATAGCTCGGGGGAGGAACATCACAAAGGAAATAAATTTCATGGGATTCAGCAACCTCAACAAAAGAAGCATTGTCACATTTTGAGACTGGCTGCAAAAAACATGTACCTCACTCATTTTAAGGCTTACAGACTGCTTCTGATGAAGTGGATGCAAAGTGTTTTAAAATGCATATATTTTGCAATGCAGACTGCTACCATAAGAAAAACTGGAAATAAACACCACCTAAACATAATTTACTCAATTGTGAAAATTATGTAAAGTGGGCATAGTGCGTGTGAATTTCTAGATGGGAAGAAAATGCAAGTCCTTTAATCCGGTACAATGCAAGGACAAGACCAAAAGCCTCCGAGGCTTGGAGGTATTTGGTGAAATCAAGACTTGAGAATTCCACATTACTAGAGAGACCACAACACAGTAGAAGAGCACACATTTTGCTCTTAGATGTTTCCAAGTTCGATGTACTCTTTCTGAAGCCTGAAGAACCACTAGCAGTTTTGAAAAACAATGGTAAGCTAAATGGAACAATTGTCTGACCCTGTGAAAGGAAGTGTTATATATATTTTACAGAAGCAGACTGCTGCGCTGAGAAGGTAAGCATATTTTGCATGTATACGTTGCTGAACAGGGTATAGGGTTACAGCCTGTGTTGGACGGGGTTACACTCCCCCTGAAGACACAGGTTCGTAGCTTGGGAGTTCTTCCAGACTCATCACTGAGCCTGGAACCCCAGGTTTTAATAGTGGCCAGGGAAGCATTCACACAATTAAAACGTGTGTGCCAGTTGCGCCCATACCCTGTAAAGTCAGATTTGGCCATGGTAGTCCATGCTCTGGTTACATTCCTAATAGGCTACTATAATGCACTCTACATGAGGCTGTCTTTGAAGACTGTTCAGAAGCTACAAATGGTCCAACTGGTGGCAGCTAGATTTCTCACCGGAGCATCGCACACAACCTGCCTGTTACGTCACCTCCACTGGCTGCCAATCTGCTCCCGAGCAGAATTCAAAGTAGTGGATTTAGCCCATAAAGCCCCAAATGGTTCTGACCCAGGTTACCTGTCCGAACAGATTTATCCCTATGAACCACCTCAGGGATTAAGATAATCTGAGAAGGCCCTCCTCTCGACCCTGGCTCCCTTGCAGGAGTAATTGGCAGAGATGAGACACAGGGTCTTCTCAGTGGTGGCCCCTTGGCTGTGGAACTCCCTCCCCAGGGATATTAGATCAACCACCTCCCTCCTGGCCTTCCACAAGAGAGTGAAAACGCAGCTTTGTGGCTAAGCCTTTAGAGAGCCTGTGCAATAGATATACTTGGAACAATGTGCAGTGAGGATTGGAACGGCCTGGATTACGCTCGTGGATTATGTGTCTAACTCTGAATGTATTGTTTTTAAAATATTTTAATTGTTTTTAATGCACTTTTAAATTCTATTTTAATATTTATTTAAGTGTACATTGTGTTTTTAAGGCATTGAATCATTGCCTGTGTGTAAAGCTGCCTTGAGGCCCCTCCGAGATGAAACATGGGGCAGAAATGTCATAAATAAATAATAGAGCATCTATAATATTGCCTAATCCAGTTGACAAGATGGATCAAAGAATAGAAAGCCTTTGTGGCAGATTTTTATCCTTTTACCTTCTTCATGGCACAAAGTCATGACCAAATGTTAACTTGCAGTAGAGCAGGAGTTCAGTGTAGATACTTCTACATTCAGTTCAGATTGGATCTACTCTGTGCTATATCCCAGAATCTGATCCCAGATTATCTTCTTATACCAGATTATTTGGTAGTGTATACGCATATAATCCAGTTCAAAGCAGATAATCTGGGATCTGATCCTGGGATATAGCACAGTGTAGATCCAGCCATAGATAGCAGCAAATACAGACACCTTAGTTTTGATAAATGCTTTCTTTCTTGAAAAGAAGAAACTGGCAAAGAAACAACGAGGCAAGGGGAGCAAAGAACAAATTTCAGCACGAAAGATCTGTGAGTCTAGGCTTCAAAACCAGAGGGGAAAAAAGGACACTCTTTTGTACAGCTTTTTAAAGAACCACTGAAGCAGAGCGAATACTTGGCCAACTTAAACAGGAAAATTATTTATAGCATGTACCCAAACGTGGAGTGTTCGGCAATTTCTCATTCCTTTGCTAAGGGACTCCAGGCAGCATTCAAGCCCACTCTGATCATCCTTTCATCCCACTATGTTGCTGCAGGGAAAAATCTTGGTACCAACATGCCACAAGAAGGCTGGATGAGTTTACCAGGGAGTAAGAGAGTTTTTAGAAGGAGACTTATGGTTGCTTACCTGGCTCAGAGCTGCTGCATTCAGTGGGTCTAGAGCAGCAGACATGATTTCTTTTTAGGCTTCTTCTTTTCCACTGGTGTTTTTCTATTTATCTGTCTGACGAGATCATAAAAGATCTGTAAAAGAAAGAGTGGAGTAAGTATGAAGAGCACCGAGAGAAGTGTCAGAGAAAGCTAACCTCCTGTACAATTTTGCATCTTGAAAGCTTTTTTTTTTTTCACATATCAGGTTAACAATAAATGGAACAAGAGGCTGGAAGGAGGAAAGCAGAGAGGTGAAATCCTCTTGGAAACTTCTTGACCTTAAGAAGAGGATGAAGCATAGCGGCCTCTTGCTGCAACAAGACTGCAAGACAATTTATTGATGTTTCACACAGCTTTGATATTCTACAAGGACTTCCTCAACTAGAATAACAGAGCTGGAAAAGGCCACAAGGGCCATCCAGTCCAACCACATTCTGCCATGCAGGGATACATAATCAAAGCACTCCTAACAAATGGACATCCAAGTCCCATCTTAAAGTGATTTCATCAGAAAGTATGAAATATTCTGGAAGCAAAAAACAACAGCACTGTTCTGGATGAAAATCACTCCTCAGGGACTAGTTCAAAAACTAGTAACAGAATTGCTAGTAGTCACAACTCAATACTGCACAACTGTCCATACTGTGCCACCATACTTGTTTGCAAGCCTTTCCCTTTTCTGTTTTTCTTATTCAACACTAAGAAATGTACTTTAAGAAGTATTTTTGTTAAATTACTATTATAATCTAACATATTAACTACAATTACAATTAACTAGTTACTTCTAAGATCTGTTCTTGCTGCAGAGTTACTCTTTCTGGTCCCTCACAAGTAAAGCTTTTCTAGCTATCAAGAAAAGTCTGACAACTAATTATGACCATCAAGAAGATCAAAGAGTGTATGTTGTAAGATGTGGCTTCCTCATGCCTAAATTTCACTTTCCAACTACAAGAGAAAAAATAAAATTGTATTTTATGGTGCCCACTTCAGCTGTGGCCTGGATAGATTAAAAAATTAAGGAGTCTTGTGCAGTGTAACACTAAATCAAGAGCAAGTACCTTCTCTTTGCATGAAGCCAGCTTTATAAAAACACAAATAAAATGCTTAGCTTCATGGAAAACCTCTATTAACTAACTCTTTTCCCCTCCTGCTAAAAAAAAAACCCAGCCTCTGGCCAATTCCAATATGATTCATGAATACAGCAAGCTCTATGGCTACAGTGCTTCCAATCTATGAACTACAAAACCTAGAAACTGGATACTGCCTAGATAATATCTTGGCGGGGCGGGGAGAGAAGCACAGCGAAGCACTTTCTAAAAGCATGATAAAGCCAGCATCTCTTTCACTCCCTACAATAACAGTCTATAACAGCATTTAGGTTTCCCACACTCCCTCTCCACCAGGTTTACAATTACATGATTTTATGCTGTCAGCCCAAGGCAGTACACATCCTTTGTACTCTGATAAGGTCAGTCTAGCTCCTTCCTAGATGCTCAGCAGAGCTTGGAAGTTGAAGACTGCACTGCAGGGAAGTGAGTACAAATTTGGATGGATCCCAGTAGGGATATCTATGCAGAAAGAAGGCATTTAACATCTTTTTTTTCTGAAAAAGAGGACTAAAAACACCTGATCCTTTGTAATTCATTATGCATTCAAAGTTATGTTTATGGCAACAATAAGGGACTCATAACTAAGCCACTGAAGTGTTTACAATTGTTGTGTTAGCCTAACATAGAATTCCTCCATACACAGGAAAAGTTGGAGATGGCTATGGTATTTGTTGCTGTATTTCTCAAGGATTATTTGCTTAAAAAAACCCCAACAGATTATATTTTGTTGTCCTGGATTACTCTCTACAACAACAGCTATATTTTATTTCTAAGAGAAGATAATACTGTTGTTGGTATTGTTGTTTTTGAAAAAAAATCAACAACAAATCAAAGGGAGTTTGCATGGCTCAATACTAACTGTTCCTACTGGGTTCTTTGGCCATTCCTCCTCACTTTGCCGTTCCGTCTCCTCACTGTTATAGTGGTGAACAGAGATTACTTTACTGTTTATACCAGTGGTTTCCAACCTTTGTTTCTCCACATGTTTGGGGCTTCAACTCCCAGAAGACCTAGCCAGCTTGTCCAATGGTCAACAATTCTGGGAGCTGAAGTCCAAAACACTTGGAGGACCAACAGTTGGACATCACTAGTTTATACAAAGGATTTCTAGAACACCATTCCTTTAAAAAGATTGGCCCACACCTGGTCTCACAACGTCTGAAGTCTTAAGGTTAGCAAAGCACCAAAGAAATGATGCAAATAATAATTAGCCAAATTGCCTACAATGTTGCGAGATCTGAATAATTGGCCAAATTACCAAACTGCCTGAGACATCATACAGCTTTCTTTATTTTCACCTTTCTCTGTTATAAGAAGCTAAGCATAATTAATTCATGGGGGTCACCGTAAGGCAAATTGAGATGGTATGAATGGAAGCAGAAATAACACACACTGGCAATTTTAGGCACCATGAGAGGAGCTGTGTTGCAAAAGCTCTCGTTTCTTTGTGTTAGCATAGAAGAACCCATAGTCACTTGAAGCGTGAATCATATTTCTTAATGGGGACAAGATGCACTGTCTTACCCTCTCCAACCATTTAAACACTCAAACCTAGTTGCCACTAGTGTTTCCTCTATCTCACTTTACCTAACTATCTACAACACTAGATTGGAAATTGTGGATCCAGTAGGGGAAGCACCACCTACATTTTTGGATTTCTGGCCGGTGAGATGAAACAAGTGCCCCATGCCTCACTTTTAAGAGGAGCGCCAGCGACAGCTGCCAGCAGCCGTGTGATGAGGTCCTAAGTACCCTAATGTTGGCAACAGCAAGGGGATTCGTCGGACATTGGAGCAAATCTGTGGGGCAGCAGGTGAATCCATTGCCCCATGCCTCACAGCACCTGCAACATTGCCTTCCCCATTACTATTAGGTCATTATTTCCATTTGACAATTGTAGATATTAAGGCTCATTGTAAATAAATTCCAAATCACCCAGCAAGCCCCCTTTTCCAGAATAAACTGTAGTGCAAGCTCTCAAAGCAATGCATTAATGGCCTTGGAATAGAGATGGTAAGCACATACCCGTCCAGATGTTGAACTGCAACTCTCAACATCCCTTACCATTGGCCACACTGTTTAGGCTTGCTGGAAGATGCTATCTATCTGGAAAGCTGTATGATTCTCACCCTATCTTAAGACAGATCCAAGTCAATTAAAGCACAGCCTAAGTGAGAAGCAACAGAGCTCTAGCCTGGATCTCAAATTCTAATCTGACAAAATAAAGCACAGATATAAATACAAGCAAGTCTAATGGCCTCAGCACAACAAAGTGACCCCCATGAATTACAAATTCCTTTGCAATCCATGAATGTTAAAGGCCGATTTGGGCAGCAAATGTTCCTTTTCTAAGGAACCTGTCGGCCTCTTTTGGTTCAGATATAAAAATATCCTAGGTTGACCTTTGCTACTCAAATCCCCATATTTAGATCCTGATTTTGTAAAACACTTGGAAGTTGTTGTTTTAAATTTTTAAAAGACTTTAAATCCCACAATCCCCAGTTACATAAGTATATAAAACAGGTATTAAAATAAGACATTTACTGATAACAAATCAGCATTTGCAAGGCTTGCTAAACAGGCTGATTTTACTTTCCATGAAGTAAAGCTGAGGCATCTTCTGTAGACTCCACTGCAAACATTGCACAACAGATTCGTGCAAACATCTAAAACAGATACTAGATGACATTCAGAAATCTTTTACTATTGTCAATTTTTGGGGACCCCAGCTCTGAGGTAAGGGGACCATTTGGGGTCAGGGTCCAGAGTTTAAGAAGCAGTGCTTTACGACACATCTACCAACACCAGCTTCTGAAAGGTGCCAATAAAATAGAAGTACATGAATATTTATGAACTCAAAACTACAAATACAATATGCATGCTGCTTCATGAAAGATCACTCAATGGTTACCTCATTAACATTGATTTTAGACTTTGCAGATGACTCTAGAAAGGCACAGTTACACCACTGTCTTGCTAAGTTCTGTCCTTGTTCTTTGCCAACTACACGCTCATCTTCCAGATCACATTTATTGCCAACCAGAATCATAGGAACCTGTGAAGAGACCATGAGAGAATTATGGGTAAATGACATTCAAAACCATGTGCCCAACTTGAAAAAAAGAACATAGATTTATTGCCAGAGGCTAACAGTAAACATTTTTCATGTTACACCAAAACAATTTATTTTCCACTGATTCCTTTTTAAAAACTGGCTTAATATAACTGGATTGGCACTGTATGGATCAGCACATGTAAGAAGCTAAAATGAAAGAAATGCTAAATTATGAGATGGAAAACTTCAAAAGAGCATTTATTATTGACTCTGAAACTGCAATACATAATGCACTGACTGCTCCATTAAATGTCAACTACTTAGATATGTGGGTGGAAATACGTTGATTAAAAATAATAATCAAGATCTACAGTGGACAAAATGCTGATATTTCCTGGAAAGTAAAACTTCAAGGTACGTTTCATGGCTCAGGGCTGGATTATATATTAGGTGTCTGCAAGAAAGGAAGCAAACAAACAATTTTGCACTTTGTCATTACCATGGCTACATTGCATTGACAATTAAATAGGCTCATGGCAACTATCAGACAAATGGAGAAAGCGTGGTTTGGAAAGTTCATGGCTACACCATTTATTTTCTCAAGCACTTCCCTAATGCTAGTTTCTGCAAACATGAAGAGTTGACATTTCAAATCCTAAAACAGACAGTAACTATCTTTCTATACAGTTTTAAATTTAGACATCAGGATTTACATCACTTCCTAAGAATTATGATGTATGTTTCAGCTTCAATGGCTTGACGTGCTTAGGCACTAAATGCCTCCTTCTCTATTTTAGAAATGGAACAGCTGAATCATGAAATGCTAGGGATCGAGTACACATCTTTTTGTCAATAGATTATCCCAGGTGTCACCATTTTGGATAGTTTAGATTGAATTCTCAGAACTAAGATAAAAAAGGATTACCTATAAATAGCAACTTGGTAAAGTTAATCTGGGAGAACTTTAGTTCTCAGAATCCTTAAATCAGAATGCTGACTGGGGATTTTGAAAGTTTTAGTCCAAAAGATCTCCGTTCGTCCAACCCCTTGGAAAATGTTGTAAAACATTTACATATTTTGTAACGCTGCAATAAAACCTGTACTGCAAATTCGATTACTCAACTTTGAAAAATGAATAGGGACAAAGGAAAATGGAACATTACAAGGGGGGAATGGTAGCATTAAAAGTCTGGTTTGGTAAAGAAAGTCTTTACTTCTACCAACATCCAAAGTTCTTATTTTATGGCTTATGGGGAGKTTCTGTATTAATTCAAGAGTTATCTGAGCATTGGGGGGGGGGGGGGATGGGGGATAATTGGTGATTAATTTTTGCAGTAGGTAGTACACTAAGAAAAGCATTCAGAAAATTGAGATCTGCAAAATGACAAAAATTATTAACTAATCAGATTCAGAGGAYGAACTGATTTGTCTGATTCATCAAATGATGCAAGTGTAATTCCAAGCACTGCTTTTACACCATAGCTGTAGACTAAATACTGAAAAATAGATCAGATTCCAAAAGTTCCGTTAAGAAAATATCCCCTGTTTAAAGATATATCACTTTTACTTCAATTTTTAAAAGGGGTACCTAGTTGAACCAATCATATCACCAAAATTATTACAGAAAAGCTAAATAATCTCACAGATGAAGCTAAATTGCAATTAAAAAGCACTCCCTATTCCAGTTCAGCTTTCTGTGTGGGTATCTACCTTTGAGTCCTCTGCTGATTTATGGTGATATCATGCATTTCATAGGGTTTTCTTAGACTAGGAATACTCAGAGCTTTTGCCAGGACCCTCATCTGAAACACAGCCTAGAGAGCATCTGGTACCTGTCCATGTACTAACCAGAACTGACTCTGCTTAGCTTCCAAAACTAGATTATAGTTACTGCCTTTAGGATATTGGGTCTCCAGTTCAGCTATCTTCTCATTTAGTAAGTCAAGGCCCTCATGAAGTAGTTATTAAATACCAGAGGCAAGAACAGGAATGTGGAACTTGGAGCTCCAGACCTTGTTGGATTCTGTATAATTCCGTACAAAGGTGTGAAATAATGGGAGTAGTAGCCCATGTTTTGAACTAGACAGAAACACCGTTTCCAAATGTTGGTCTTCTGAAACAACCTGAAATCACCTGCCATTTGATAATAGAAGAAACAGACCATATCTATTTCAATCTGATGTTGAATAAGCACCCCATGGTTAGGACAATAATTGATCAGAGCAGTGCCTTTCACAGAGTACAACATCTCTGAAGAGCAACTTGCAATGGATTAAATAGCCCAGTATTTTGATTATTACATATATTTTCATCATAAATAGATTACACTGATGTATTTAATTAGAAAAAATTGCAACCCTATCATATTGACAAAGACTCAGGTCTACTAAAAGAAAACAGCAGCAAATGGCTGGGTGTGACAACGTGTAAATGTAGCCACTGAGATCAGCTCAAGTGAGAGAAAGTCTTCTTAAATCTTTCCCCTGCAAGAGAAATTTTTTCAGTGATTTCTGAATCCATGAGGAGAAAGCTATAGCATTTTCCAATGGAAGAATGACAGAAGGAAGAGGAGTTAAGAAGGCTCTCTTTTTGTGGTGGTCTTTTGCTTCCAACTGCAGCCTCTCTAACTACATTGTACTAAAACATGGTGTACAAAAACCCAGAGTCTGAAAAACTTAATTTAGGCTACTGTCCTCCATAGCCTTTCTTTCAGTGGAGTCAGATGTTGTGGTCCAAAAAGCTCATTGGAAAACATGGGAGTTCATGGTGTTAGAAACATGATGCTAGAGATGGGCATTTGACCTTCCTGAGCAGGGCTATCCTTAACAGATGCTGTTAACAGCCATTCACAAAACAGCCTACAGCATGAATGATGCCAAGCAACTGATAATGCAAAATAAAGCCTATCAGCTTGGATTACACTGTGATCAGAAGTGATTATGGTACCATGCCTGTTTAACTGCTGTGCGACAGAATGTAAAACCTATTCTATCAGGGCCAGCACCCCTGTTGAGAAGCTCAGATACTATGAAGTGTGGCAACTCAGTCCTGCCAACTGGAAGAATTTTTGCATACAACATAAGGAGATTGTTGTGGGTTGATGTGAAATGCACACAACAAATTTTTGCCCTCTGTCCTCACATTTAGAACTTCCATCAGGACGAGCAACCCAGTATAGCTTTAATTCATGAGGGGAAAAATACCCTACGAGTCATAAAAGAAGCTTTGCGGTTTATAAAGGAACTATTTCTAAACATAATGTTGAACAGAATACGTAATTGTAAGGGGCTTCAAAAGGGACAGAAAGGGGCCCAAATGGGGCAGCATCCTGACTGTTATGTGAAGACTCATGCCAGTTCAGTCACAGAAACTGAAACTTCAGATAAGCAAGTGGAAAATGTACATATTAAGAGTTCCCTTTGCTTTAAGCATCACAAAACCCCAGTGTTTAAAATCTGATTACAAGTCTTAAAGTCATCTTTTCTCTTGGTTTTTTGTCATTAAGATCAAGACACAGATATGACAACATTTTCTGGGATATGAAAACTATTATAATTGTATTAAATACAGCATGGTTTTATGTGGCTATGAAATATGGGATGGATATAAGGATGTGCACTTGATTTAGTAAAGAGAGCCAGAGCGGTTTAGCAGTTTGAGAATTTGATGACGCTGGAGACCCAGGTTCAAATCCCTACTTAGGCATGGAAACCCTACTGGGTGACTTTAGCCTCAGAGGAAAGCAATGTCAAATACCGCTCAGAGCACATCTTGCCAAGAAAACCCCATGACAGATTCACCATAAATCAGAAACCACTTGAAGGCACTCAATCAGGTCCAAAAGTCCTCATCAAAAAATACTTAATCTTTTGGGTTCTGTGTACAAAGTCTCATTTTAGGACATGGTATGGATGTAAGTGGTCTTATTTTTTTAAAAATGGTTAATGCCAATGTGAAGTCAGTTTGAATATGTCATTTTGATAACTGTCTGATAAGGCAGGTGAAAGCTATTAAAACTGATGCAAATAAAAATGCACCCCAGTAGTTTTAAACACAATGCTCATTGGAAAAGTACAGTGCAAGAGACAGCATATGTGAAATTTGTTCCAAAAGCACTAAATTAAAGAAAATTGAAAAATGAGTTATTGGTAGCAGCACACTGTTGGCTAGGAGCAGAACATTATGCACAAAACAACACCATCCAAACGGATTAAATTGCTTGAGTACAATATTTGGAAAACTGCATTTTAAGAACGCAAATCCTCAGCATGTTTTTTCTTATTCCTGTAAAATCTGTTCAGATGGATTTGGTACCTTTTAGAAATAAACTCCACATATGACTTACATTAGGTTCCTTGCAATGTTCCATGTTCTCTATATAAATCTGGCTCTGGTGATTGCATATGTTATAGGACTGTAACACCCATCTTCCCTCCCTTCTGGCCAGGGCAAATGACAACAAGCTCTTAGCTCCTGAAATATGGGGCAGGAGACTCAAAGGCTCAGTGTGACCATGGTAGAAGGTGGAGGGACATGGTTTTTCTTCTTTTTCCCCCAATGCATTTTAATTGTCCCCCATTCACCACAATCGGATGGAAGTTACTAAATCAGGGCAGGGACCAGTGCAGTTTCAAGGGTTTTTCGGGGGACATCTATGAACACATGAAGACACATTTCTAAAATGCATTATTCTAAAATGCATTATCAGCAAAAAATTTCCAGTGTCTAGGATTTGCGACCTAAAGTGGTTATACAAGGACCACACAGTAATCCGATTCTTAGCTGCAAGCAATCAAGTATATGAAAAGCTTTTGTTTGTGGAAACATTAATAGGTCAACGCAAACATTTTACTTTGAACGTACTTGAATTTAACAGTGCACCATTAAGTCATAAAGTCAAAGTGCTTTTCTCCACAAACCGTGAATAGGAAACTAGGATGACCAGACTTTCTGAAAAAATGTCTTATAATGTTGAGAATAGCAGGTGGCAATTCTATGATTTGTGCACATTAGCAGCTTGACAACATTTAAATGACAAAAACCTTTCAGCAATCCTTAAAACTATTTTGAGAAATCTGAAAGAGCTAGATTATTATTTCAATTTAGACCATGTCTATTAAAGAGCCGCCAAACCTGTATTTAGCAAGTTATAAGGGAAGCTACTGGGCCTTCAAAATATCTGAGAACATAGTTAGCTATTCTAGTGAGAAGTGCTATTTGGGGCCAGAGGAAATTTAGCTTGAATGTCTGCTTGTAAGCTGCCTCATACTCATAAAAATCTTACTTCTTTTGGAATTTGAACTTCTCTAGAGTTCAGTCTTAGTTCAGAATATGGGCCATTTGTGACTAACTCTCCAGTAATGTCTATGGGAATAAAGGAAGGCTTTCTCAAATATCTTAGCAAGACAATTTTATTATATCATACCAATCATTTTAGAACAGTGTCCTTTCAGTCATTTAGTCACTGAACAAATACAGATAATGACTTCTTTAGTTAGATCACCAAGCTAAAAATCCATTTACTTACATCTTCAGTGTCCTTGACCCGTAAGATCTGTTCCCTCAGGTCCTGTAAGTCATTGAACGTGGACTGTGCTGTAATAGAATATACTAGTGCAAACCCCTGACCATTCTTCATATAGAGATCCCTCATTGCTGTAAATTGCTCCTGTAATTAAAAATAAACACATGCAAACAGATGCTGTTAAATATAATTAGCTGTTTAGTATATACTGAGCAATACAGTAAGACAGACTCAGTTTTAGCAGAGACCAAAAAAGGTCATTCACAAATTCTATTCATTGCTCTTGCAAATATTCAGTGAAGCCTATGAATTTAATTTTAAATATCTGCAATACCATATTAAAGAATAAAATGTGTGTATAGAAAGTTATTTTTGTCTCCATAATTGTTTTTATCAGCATATAAGTCCTCCTTATCCTCATCCACCTATCTCCCTCTTCCACATGCCTAACACGAGCTGTGCACATTTGCTCAGACAACTGTGTGTACATCTCCCATATTGTGGGAAGAAGTGGATACTCACTAGATCCAATTGGTGAAACCAGTTGTAAAATCAGATGTAAGATAGCCTTTTTATCATTAAGAATTTGAGGAAAGCTTTTGAGAGTATCAAGAATCTCTTCAGGTTTTAAGATATGAGTATGAAATTTGTGTTTCTGCAGATGGTAGTCAACTACAATTTTGTCTTTGATTCATGGAAGCAGCACCCCCAAACAGCACCTGGAAGTCTGAAGGTTCCCCACCTTTTAAGATGAGATGGGTAATAGTCCTGAATCTAGAGGAGAGCTGTATTTGGGTTGCGGGGTCTGTGTCGGTGGCCAGAAAGAGGTGGCCTGGGCCACACAGAAAGAAAAATATTCAAAAGATTGTAATCTCCCTTTTATGTGGCAACTGTGTCTAACCATTTTAAGATTTATTCAGTAGTGCATACAAGTTTCTCTTTAACCCATGCTTTCACTGTCAGGTTTAAACCAACAGCATTGGTTGCTAACTTTATGAGGTATTTTAAAGTTTTGATTCAAGTTCTAATGCAAAGTCATAATCAGATTGAAACTCTGTATTTGGACCGCAAATCCAAATAAAATTATGCTGTTCATTTCTAATAAAAACTGTACAATTCAATCAACATTGAAGAGAACACAGAAAGAAATATTATTATTATTATTATTATTATTATTATTATTAATTGTTTGTGTGGCACGATTAAAAGAAATGTAAGGGGTATTTCATATAATAATATGCTTCAAATAAAGAGAAACAGGTGGGTCTCCTATAAGTTTACAGTTTAAAAATGATTTCTAATGACTTTAGGGCCCTTCAATTCAACAATTAAGAATTTCAGATTTCCAGACAGATCTCACTTACCGTCCCTGCTGTATCGAGGATTTCAAGCATACATTGTTGACAATCTACTTCCACTTGCTGAAAGAGAAGGAAAAATATATAAAAAGACTTGATGCCTCCTCATGTCATTGTTTACTGAGTGGTCACAAGTACCTACAAATCCAATTAGTAAAATAACAAATGGTGGGGAAGAGGCAAAATTAGCCTAGCTTTCATTTCCTCTCTGTCTCTCAGGGTAGTTATGGAATTAAAATGAGGAGCCACATATAATATCCTCAGTTTACAGAAGGAAGAGTTGTAAACAAATATAACTATATTAAACTATAGTAAATAATGACACATCATTGGGAATATGATTCTTATTATGGAAATGGTGTCAGTCATGTATTGCATGTGGATGTCCATAAACCTGAAAAGCCCATTTCAAAGTTCTTGAGTTGGGAGTGGGTGAAGAAAACATCACCCCATACTTTACCTTTCTGTATGAGTCTTCTATTGTGGGGTCATATTTTTCGACAAAAATTCCCTGAACAAACTGTACAGTCTGAAAAGAAAAACAAAGAAACACAGTCAGCCAATTGCTTACAACTGATGTTATTTAACAGGCTAATTACATAAAACATCTGAAAGACACAAAGCCTTTGTGTAGGTCCCTTAAATCCATTTGCAAGTCATGCTAGTGACACTTAAGATGAAGGTTTAAGATCAAGGCCTTCAACAGTATCATTTCAATTTCAGATGGAAAACATATAAATGTGTCTTCAGTCAAGAATGAAACAAAAAAAGTACATTTGATGAGCCCAACTAACAGATAAATGGTTTAAGACTTTTTGCATAGTTTTATGCAGTATATGGCAATGCTAAATGGAAAACAAAGCTAATTTGAATGTTGGAGTGGTCACTTTTTTATGCATGGGTGACCATCACAATTCATCGTGTAATTCAAATCACTGCATGAATGCAAAGCAAAACAAAAAACAAAAAAACAAACAAACAAGGGCAAAACATATGAACAAAAAAGGGGTTTGTTTTAAAAGCCTGCCCATGAAAGTACAGATAAAAAGGTTATTTAAAATGGGGCCACTGAACAGGTTCAAACTACAAATTATGCCAACAATAAAACATGTTAAAGCCATGATTGTTTTAGTTACCCAAGAGTAAGTATGCATATTCTAGATCCAGACCAGGAACAGGCCATATTGATCCAGGAGCTTGTGTGTGTGCGTGTTTATTTTTAAAGTGTACTCACTAGGGATTTAATTCCTCACTATGTTTCTACTCAAAGCAAGCAACAAGTAATTTTAGCAATTTTCTTTAGCAATTTTTGGGCAGAGTAAATTCTGAACTGGGAAGATTCTCATCAACCTGGAATTTTTCTAATCAGTGTTTCTTAAACCATGGTTAACAATTTTCCAAATATTTTTCCATTCCTATTATATAATACCCGTATGGATTTAAAAAAACAACTTCCACACCCACTGGACTTACTTCCTCCAGAGCAAGATACAAAGTTTGAAACTGTGGTCAGGATCCTATTCAAATTCTGCTGAGTGGAAAACTCTACTACCATATTTATACTCGTTTACACATTTAACACAGCAAAAAGTTGGATCCTGATGTTCTTGTAGCAAAGAGGAAGAAACATCATAGTTTTCATTCCCCATGCAACAGGAGGAAGAGAAAGGGAGAGAGATATGAAAGGCTTATGGGTCTAGTTGGCTACCTTATGAAAACTAGAGTGCTCTTGTTGAGAAACAAAGCTTAATAATTCACAATCTAAAATAAAATATCAGTCCTGTCTGGATTGTAGCCTGCCAAAACCTTATTCCAAGTGGGGGGAAGGCTATCAGATGTAATGCAGAGTCAAAGATCCTTGGAAAGATTTTATGAAGTTTTTGAGGTGTTGCATGAAGCATGACATTTTTCAAATCTTCACTTAAGTGCTAGTCTTATCAAAAGCTCAGTCACAGTGACTTTTGTACACATATATTTTTTTGGCATTACATTATTGCCTTGTCAAATATGTTTTATTGTTCTGGAAGCTGCACAAGGAAACTGGCATTAAAGAAGCTCTATAGTTAGTTGGTGTGGCTGGCTAGCACCTGATCTATTTGAATCAGCTAATGATCTCTGTATCCTCTATCTTAACTGAATTACTAGGAGATTCCTGCATGTGATCTGGCAAACAATAGAAATTCTGAATAATCCAAGTGCTTTCCTGACCTTCAGAGCCACCACCCTATTCAAACAATCCACACAATATCCTCCTATCCTTAAGTGTCCTCACATTCAGATACAATATTAGCTTATGATATCTCTTGGTTACCTCTCGTGATCCCTTTTGTTCAAGTCAAATCCTTCAGTATGACCCTTGGAACCGTGCCATCGCTAAATAAAGCAGCCAGAAATCCCAGGAAGATTTCTGTTCATTTTGGAAGCCATGCTTATTTAATCTTTTAACTCTACTTTGGACACATGCAAAGCACTTAACTCTCTCTCTTAAAATATATTTTGCTGGATTTAAAAAAATATGATTAAAGCAAATAAATTCGAAAAGGAAGTAGAAATACATAGGATATGCATAAGGACTACATATTAATACAATGATGTAATTTGGCAATACAGTAGGGTCTCATTTATCCAACATAAACGGGCCAGCAGAACGTTAGATAAATGAAAATACAGGTTAATAAAGAGGGATTAAGTAAAAGCCTATTAAATGTCAAATTATGTTATGATTTTACAAATTAAGCACCAAAACATCATGTTTTACAACAAATCGAGAGAAAAGGCAGTTAATTACACAGTAATGTTATGTACTAATTACTGTATTTATGAATTTACAAATTTAGCACCAAACATCACAATGTATTGAAACAGCTTTGAATCCTGGCAGGAGGCAGACTGAGTTGGATAATACAGAATGTTGGATGAGTGACGTTGGATAAGCAAGACTCTATTGTATTTTCAAAAACATATTTTCATAAATGTAACGTATTTAAAAGACACATTACTGTGCAGCTAAAGCAATAAGATCTTTTGACAACTGAAAGATAGTTGCTGAATGTTTCAGTAAAAGTAAGCAGAATCCAACAATAGTGACCCTCAATAAAATTCTGCACAACAGGAATGGAATTGGAAATATTATGTGCATCTATCTTAATTGAATTACTTAACTGAAATCAAATGCCAATTATAACATATCCAACCCAAAATAAACAACCATGGAACCTACTTAGAACATATGCCACAAGGAAGTATGAAATTATCCAATTCTCTTGACAGAATAGTCCACACAAGCTCTCAAGAAAAATCTTCTCCTGTTCCTTTAAAAAAGAAGATGAATGGGCAGGTATAAACCATTTCTCCTTTAAATATAGCACAGTATTTTCAGTAATAGCTCATGCAAACAGCTTTGCGCTACCAGCTCTTAGAAATCATAGGGACTCTTTAAACAACAGCCCCATTTTGTTCAGGGTCAAAGCTGGGATTTTTCTCATGATGACAAGAAACACAAGCACAATCTCTCCTAATAAGTGGTGTCAGATTTTGAAAGGCAAGCTATCTGCAAAAGGCATCATTGTATTTGGGGAAAAACTGAATGCTCCAATGATTTCCTAACAAGGATGAAAATATTCTAGCTTTCATGTTCAAGAATTTCTTCCTGCAACCGAAGGAGGGGAGAGGAAGGGATGGAAAATGTCCCCACTTGAAATTCATTATTTCACCCTAGCACTACCTACACTGTCTCTTAGAAAAAAGATCAAGGCATCTGCTGACAAGTCACAACAGTGAGTACTCAATATAATCACACACAGTACACCGAACTTGCAAAGAAGCGTAAGAGTATTGATATAGGCCATCAAATGAACATACAGTATGGAGGTAAGCCAGCTATAACTGAAGCATAGTCATTTATTGCTACAGAAACATTGTAAGTTTATTCTTTGTTAATACAAGAAAATCTCATTTGACCACACAATCATTGTACACAGTTTAAAACCTACAGAATGTTGGCCATGTTTAAGACACAGGGCGCAGTTACTGAAAGTATCAATGCTGAGAGAGCCCTTCTTTCATGCTTGCAAATTAAGTATAAATAAATTAAATCCAGGTACTTTATTGGCTTGGAACATTCTGTATTTCACGTATCCTTTGAGACAGGACAAGTAATTTATCAGTTGTAACAGGCTTTCAGAGACCAGTGAAAAGCAAATTACAAAAAAAATCTATTCCTGGTTTGAAAGTGTTATTTCCTGTTTAATTGTGCGGTGCTAACTTTTATAGAAACTTCATTTTTGTGGCTGCCACAAACCATGTTGAATTGGTCGAGACTCTAGGAGATATTCACTGAAAAACTATAACAAAATGTGCTGCAGGATGTCCCAAAAAAACAAAGTTTTTGCAATTAAATACACTTTTTCCATGTTTTTATGATATAACCAATTAGGATATGACTTTATAATCCTCTTTTGAGCTCCTCCCTCAGAAACATATTCTCCCACTCCTATCTCATCTAGGGTTTTATCAACTGTGCATTTGGCCCGCCCATTGTGTTCTATTTCTTTATCTTGTAATTTTGTAACTGTTTATTTTATTTTGCTATTTTATGTATCTTATTTTGATGCTATTTTTGCTATTTTATGTATCTTATTTTGATGCTATTTTTGCTTTGTTGTATTTTATTTTGCTGTATTGTAATTCTGGGCTTGGCCTCATGTTGACTGCCCGAAGTCCCCTTTGGGGAGATGGTGGCGGGGTATAAATAAAGATTATTATTATTATTATTATTATTATTATTATTATTATTATTATCCAGGAATAAAAATACACTGTATAATCCTTTAAGCATTAACTTCCCATAATATGAACACCGGTAGGCAAACAACCAAGTAATTATTATTTATATATTGCCATCAATATGTACTGTATTTTACAGAGCATAAAAAGAAGTTAGCTCCCTCCCTGAGGATTTAATAATCTAAAATCTGACAGTGTCCCCATTAGAAGGTGACTATTTATGGTGGCATATAAATAATGGTGATCAGAAATCACACTTTTCTGGTTATCTACTGGAATCCTTTGCTTTTCAACAAGTTGTATTTGGATGTTTCAATAGATCTAAATTACAGCTAAGTTCTACACTTTCAACCCCTAATCCAGTGGTTCTCAACCTGTGGGTCCACAGAGGTTTTGGCCTTCAACTTCCAGAAATCCTAACGGCTGGAATTTCTGGGAGTTGTAGGCCAAAACACCTGGGGACCCACAGGTTGCGAACCACTGCCCTAGTCTGTTTTGTTTTGTTTTTTTTACTACTTTTGATGCTTTTTTTGGCATACTAGGGGTTTTCTTCTCTTAGTCAACTTGGCAGGATTTAGTGTTTATTCTTGCAATTGCCAGCTAAAAAATAAACCGGGCTTCGCTTTTCAACCAATTTTATTTTTGACAATAGTCCAGGCCTTAATCCATCAGATAAGTGGGGGCGTCCTGTACTTCTTCCTCTCTATAAGAATGAACCAACTTCTCCTGTGCAGAAAGCAGAAG